AGAGAGAGAGAGAGAGAGAGAGAGAGAGAGAGAGAGAGAGAGAGAGAAAACATCCGAGTAAATTCATGATTACACATCTTTATGTTCAAGTGATATTCACTCAAGCGAGACTCTATCTCCTTCTTCAGCAACTGTGAAGAGGAGCCAGAGAATGGCATTTATGTGATAAATTTGAATGGATAAATAACAAAAGTTGGCAATAAAAACCATTTATCTTGCATTCGAGTTGAGTAAAGATTGCAAAGTTTTTTTTCTTTGCTTTGTTTGCATGACACAGCGACTCGTTGACTTATCAACAACAAACGTCTACAACTTCTGAAGTCATTTTTTATCCAATCATATCTTCTGCATGTAGACACGCTCTCCAGAATTTTGATTGAATTTCTGCTGCATGTATTGTTCATTGCACAACCGGAAAAAAAACGAGAGCAAAAGGCAAAAATATTTTGACACAAACTTGAGTTTGAGTTGAATCAAACGAAAAATAAATACTTCAGAACCGAGAAAGAGTCTTTATGCCAAACAATTGCTTCGAAGCTACAAGTATCAAGGAATTTTTGGTACAAAACCGTGTATTGTGATTCACAATTTGTGAATAACACTTTGTTATGATCCGAAAAGGAAATCCGATACTTTGAATGGATTCAAATCGCTGACTCGGGTTAAATGGTGTTCCTGAAACGTCGTTCCAATAACGAAAAATTTAAAGTAAATTATTTGAAGGAGTTGTTTTGCTTTAAAATTGTCAAACGTTTCCGTCGTTCCTAACAAATCCATTGAAATCTTTGAAAACTTTGAAAATTCTTCAGGGGAATATAACAATTCATTATGATTTCTTTGAAATTGATCGCGATTTCTTTAACGTCATTTTCCTGTTTCCTCACCTCTATCTTCGAAGACAGAAATGAAATCATTTAATTAGCAATGAAAATCGTGAGCTATGAGCATGCTTTAGCAAAACGGTGATGCAATAACAAAATTCCCCTTATTTCCAGCAAAACTCACAATGTTTGGTGATCTGGTGAAAGAGAAACGATGATCAATCGCCACAAAATATTAGATTTAGCGTCGGATTCATATAAAAAAAATGGCGACAGTAAATCTAATATTGTTTGTCGCCATACCCATTGAAAGAGTTTACCCGAAGGGCAAATGAATTTAATTGTTCTTTGGATGAGAGTAATTTTTAAGAATTTCATTGAATCAAATTAGTTGGTGAGAATTCTTCTTGTCGCATTGTCATAGAAAGTCGTAACAACAAAGACATAACCGTAGCGTGCATTAGGTGGAGATGTGTTCTTTGTCAGCAGATTTTTCATTTCTCTTTTCTTCTTCTTCTTCTTCAAGAATAATTTTTGTTCATTTCTTCTTCTTTTATTTATTTATTTTATCTTCATTCGTTCATTTCTGTTTCTGTATCAGATACAAGGGTTATTGTCAACATAAAAACTGAGTCTTTTACTGGTTATTTACTATACATAACCATGATTTCATCAAAGCTATTTTTTCAGCTCTGTTTTGCGTTGTCTGTCTCTTTGGTCGATTGGCTTTAATGGTTCCACAATGGCAACGCTCATGATTACCACACAGAAAGAGCCCTATGGGACGAATTAGCCATTTCGCGTCGATTTAGATGCAATTTTATGGCAACATGCACATAAAAAATTAAATGTCTTGCGTGTGAGTTTACACGCACTTTTCACCGCTCATATCACTTAATCGCTTGTCATGCAATCAGTTTCATTGCTCTTGTTCAATTGTTTTCTTGGGTTTCATTTCAAGTGTTCTTTTTCAAGCGAATCGTCGATCTGAGTTCAAAAAGTCATGAAAAACGAGTTTGAAACCCAAAGAATACCAGAAAATACGGTTTGAATCGGTTAAATCACTCCCGACGCTATCATTACAACCATCTCAATGACAATACAATTGAGAGCGTCCATTTAAATGGTATGTCATTTTTGTTGCTTCACACATAACATATGCAACAGAAATGGCTTTGGATGGATACGTCTGGTGTTTTATTCACAGAGATTTTTCACTATCTTATTTATAGGATAGGTTAATGTGACTATAATAACCGAAATAAAAGACTCTGTGGAATCTAAACACTTTCAATCAAGACAAATTGAACCATTTTAGCTAAAAATTGTCTCTAAAAAAAGAAACGCATAAAAATGTGTGGAAATCGATCGAAATATGCTTGACTTTGGACCAAAGTCTTTGGTTCGCATTGTGAACTTCACAATGTTCATTAGATTATAGAATAAGTAAAAAACGAATACGTAGTCTGCAGTGTGTGTTTGCCAAATTCCCCGCCCAAAATTTGAAAAAAGAGTAGAAAAAGATGAGTATCGGACTGATAATAACTTAAAGGCTAAAAACTCAAAATTGAAAATTCTGAAAAAACACAATTCGAGATTGTGTAAAGCTAAAGCTTGAAAAAACATGTTAAACACCTAAACTTTGGGTAAAGCCGATATGGCTTTAAACTCCTACAAAATTGTTTATTGGATATTTTGGAGAAAATTCTCCCTTTTTGGTCATGTTCCATTAAGTTCCATATAAGCAACAAAAGAAAAACGAAAAAATTTAATCCATCACAGTACACGAGTCATGAGTTTGATCGTTGGGCTTTGAGTATGTGTTTACAAAATGTTATGCGGAAATTTCCAATCTCTGAACACTCAAGTTGCTAAGAACATTTTAACAGTGAACATGGCTGCAAATTGTTCATTTTAAAGTTGCTTGATTTGAACACGATGCAAAAAGACGTTGCATTCTACTTTAAAACTTTTGGCTGATTGAAAATTCGACTCTAAATTCGTTGACTGTTTCCTTCAATAGATTGTGAATTTGATGTTAAATTCGAATAAAAGCTGTGTAATGCACAGCAAGCCATAGATTCTGACATAGTCTGATCTCGTTGATCTTGACCCCTGCTGGCGAAATTTGACCCCCCAACGAAATTTTTCTACCCATCGAGATTTTTCGACCTTTTTTTTAGGTCTTCACATTTTGTTCCGAAAGCAACATTTACACTAGATAGAATTGATTTTTTTTTAAACCCTCATTGATTTTCCAAAATTGAGGACCTTTTTTTGGCCTTCACTTTTTTTTCCGAAAAAACCTTCAATTATTTTTTTGACCCCATCTTGAATTTTTGGTCTGACCCTATCTGAAATGTTTGGTGTCAGAATCTATGCAGCGAGCACAGTCTGCATTCCCCCTCCTAAAGCCTAGTTTGCACTCAGGAAAATCGCGTCAAATATGTTGAGAATCGTGTCGAAATGAATCAAGAAATTGGGCATTCAAAATACTTACAATGCATTCAAATGTTTGAGATGGTTTAAAGCTTTTCCGGGAACAGCAGAAAGGCCACAATTATGTAATGATAACCGTTTTAGTTCATTTAATCCTATAAATGCATCTGAATCAATATGTAATAAACTATTGTCGGATAGAATGCTGAAATGAAGACAAAATTAATTCATTAATTCAAAGATTTCATATTTAGGAAAAAATCAAATCCAAAATTAAAAAATTAATTTTTAATTCAAATCACTGAAAATGAAGTGAAAATTTGATTGCAAAAAACTCAAATAAACTTGTATAAAAAACGGCAATAAACAATTTTCAAATTCCCTCTGAAAATCGTGAAAAAAAATGTAATGTACACACAGTTCTTCTAAATGAGGTACAGCTTCGAAGGATTTGTTTGGCAGCGTTGTAATATTGTTGTTACTAATATCCCTGCGAGGAGAATAGAAAAATCTCATAAGAAAATGCAAAAAATCTTTTGCTATTGAAAACTGCGAAGAAACACTTACAGTTTGATTAAAGTCTTTGGTAGTTCGGTTGGTATTTCGTTCAAGCCGATGGCTCGACAGGATAAGGTAAGTTCTTCGATGGTACCAGAGCATTGGCAGCCTCGTTTTTCCCATGCGTTGCATGTTTGTCGCGTTGAAACACCATACGAATCAAACTGTTTCAGTGCTTTGTCGTAAGCATCAATGGCTTGTCGTTCTGAATCTGGTGTTAGAATCACCACCGATTCGCTCAATGAATGTTTCGCCTTAGTGGTGATGTATTTGTGCGTCCGTGGTGTTGCTGGCGTGGTTTTAAGCGTTGCCGCTTCGGCTGATTGAAATGGCTGGTATTTTGTGCTCGTTTCGAATGGCAGCGTTGACCTCGACATTGATGTTGACATTGATGAAGCTGCCGGCTCAACTGCCATTCGAACGCCAACATTGACGCTTATGGTGAGCAGGACACAAAGTCCTCTCACCCATCCCATGCCAATCCGTTCAAAATTATTTCCAGCAATTTCTCTTTCTCTACTCACTGTCGTTCACTCTATTAATGTGACAACGTTGCGCCGAATGGAATACTGCCCAAAACTGGTCGTAAGCACAACATTCATATTTATTTTATGAAACAACGGATTGAACACAATTTCTCTTGATGACAATTTTGAATGTCTTGATTAATTTCACTTAAATTTCACGAAAAGTATCGAGACTTTTCAAGAGTTTCACATTTCCCATAAACTTTTCAATTGTTTGACATTGAATTTGACTGCACGCGACTGAACAATCCGTTTTGAAACTTGTTAAACTAAGTTTGTCACCAAAGTGTTTACGAACAAGATTGATTACACTGTATTTCGAATATTCACTTCTCGTCTTGTTCTCTTTTTTGAGCACAAATATTTTCGCAGACAACCTTTTTTTCACTCAAACTTTTGGTAGAGCGAACGTCGGTAGCAACGACTCGGTATTTCTTTCTTCCGATTTTTCTCACTTGTTTCGACTTTTCGATCTTCGAAGCTATTTTTCAATCTGTGTCAGTTTTTTTTTCTTCCACTTTCACTCACTCACTTTTTTCTTCTTTTTTTGTTTTCTTTTTCTCCCACTTCCTCTATATCGTCCTTAGTCTCTCACTCAGTCTGTTGTGTTTTCACAATTTTTTTTTTTCACCTTTGCTCTCTTTCAACCTCTTCTTTGCTACACTTTTTCGTTAACTTTTCCGCGTTTTTTCCTTCTCGTTTTCGTTTTCTACCCCTTTCTTTCAAGAGAATCCTTCTCTTCTTCAATCCTTTTTGCATGTTTCACCACTTTTACTCGTGTATGTTGAACTCGGCGTCAATTCGGATGATTTTTTTATTGTTAGTTATGTGCATTTAACGGCGTAAGCAGTAACAAAGCGGCAGTGTTGAATGGCAGCACCCAAATATCCAAATTGAATGGACCCATATCTGCAAAAGAAAAAAGAGACATACTCATGAAAAGGCAAACAACGGCAAAAGGGATCATAAAATACATATTGTTATGAATTTGATATGGATAAACATGCATTACGATGTGATTAAAATTAACGAGTGTGCAATAAATCTGAAATTTATGCGGCGACACATTTTACATTCATGTAAATTGAAATGAGTATCTCATGAGCAAAAAGCAACAATCTGTGATGTTAACGCGAAGTATCAAAAGATTAACCAGCTAGACATATGCTTTATACTATGTACATGTACAGTATAGTGTACAATTCACACCATATTTGAAAAACATTTGGACGGAATAGACATTTTCACACATTTTTTGTAGATTTGAAACGAGATAAATAAAATGTTTATCATATTAAATGCACGAATTTGTCGGCACTCAGTTTACGACTTTATTGCGGATGTCAAATAGGAATTTAAACGATAACATTGGAATCAAATGATGATAAATTGAGAACATATGTAAGTGTTTACAAAGAATTGGTTCATAAATTTGAATAAAGCTGTTCACAATTCGTGAGTCACGAACCGTAATTCGAACTAAAGAATCTTTATTTATGAAGATTTTTATTTATGGATAAAAAGGACTGAAAATGAGAGAAAAATGGAGAAAAACTGAAAAAAGCTTGAAATCAAAAAAAAATTTGGGTTTAGAAAAACATAAAATCCTTTGTGTTCATAGAAAAGCTCAATAAAAACGATAATTTGAATGTGAAGCTCTTTTAACTTCATTCAAATTATCGTTTTTGCGTGAACTCAATAAAGTGTGAAGAAGATCTGGAATTAAATTGTGAAGAAAAAAAAATCGTCGTATTAAAAAAGCCTTTTTCCATGGAACCAATCACATTTGAACCGATTCAACTGGAAAATGCCACTTAAAACAGAACGATTAAACGCTATAACGCGACGCATCGGCACTGCATTACAATTCAATATAATTTATTTTACTTTGTTTAAGCTCGTTTAAATTAATTGGATTATACGACACTTGAAGTGAGCTGTGACGCTATAGCAATGATGATAGTCCATTTCGATGGAATACTTTGGATTTTTATTATTGCCACTTGTACAGCAGTAGCAGCAGCAAAAAGTAGCAGCGGCATTAAACAGTAGTAGTTGTAGCATCAATTCGCTTGGCATAAAATAGAGTGTCATAAAACTTAAGTGCCGAACATAATTGTTTCGAAACTATTTTCTCTCATCGAGATGGAGAGTTTCTATGCAACATTTTATATAAAAATACAAATGGATGCATACAAAAAATGAGTCTATTAAAAAGCTAATTACCCACAGAATATTTTTATGTCCTTCAAATAAGCTTTACAATATGAACGGCAAATATGATTGATCGATGGATGTGATTTGCAATTTCGAGATGGAAAATGATTCGTTGTTTAAACCAATGATGAAAAGAAGATGGAATCATTTCAATATGGAGTTCGTATCACGGACAGCGACTGTTCGACAAGAGTGTTTGATGCGTTTCTTGGAAGATGTGACCTATTTAATTACGGTCATCGCTGTATTATTGAAACTATTCCTGCATCACAGCAACAGTGGCAGTGGCTTTGCTTGTTGAACATAGCATCAATTCAATTATTTTTCGTGTAAACATTTTCAACGAAAGGAAAATATGTCGGCATCACTTTATCGACGCTGTCAATCAGCTGGATACTCTGTTGATAGACATCCGTTGCTGCTTTTACTGACACACAATGCAAATAACGCTCAAGTTTTTGCGTCAATCGGTCAACTCACTTCAAGTTGATTTGCTTGAGTATTTCTCTGGATTTACGCAAATTTTCTATTAGCTTCGGGATATCAATTGAGGCCATCACTTCGAGTGGAACAACGATGTTTGAATCCATAAGATTTCAAAACTGAACAAACGATTTGAATCATTTGCTTCCAAACAGCTTTCATTAAGTTTCAAAGTTCATTTCCAAAGTGTCGAATCCGTACTGCGATAAAAGCCTATATAAACAATGTTATTATATTTGACAATATTTGACTCGATGTCAATGACGATGTGGCAGCGCCACCTATAGAGATTCCTTATTAAAATAAGTGGAACTATTGAGTGCGTGCACCATATCGCACGTAAATTTTCAATATGGCAGCGCCCATAGAATTGAAAAGTTAACCGATTTCATAGTCGCAAATTATCGCTGTACGGTCGAATCCAAAGGTCAATTCACATAGTTGAATGCTGACAGCTATTTGGGTGGAAATGATGTAGTATATTGCCGGAATCTCGACTTGTAAGATTATTTAATCAGAGAAGGTCGTAATCAATTTTGCGTTAAATTGACTGACGAGGAAGCGCCAACGGCGCCATAGACTAATTACACTCATTTTCGCTCAATATGATTTTATCAATTTTATCATCGAAAAAATGGTGAAATGCGTGTTTCCATGTAAAAATGAAAGAAGCAATATCATGAATGAAGCTTCAAGAATTTCTTTGCCAATGAAACTTGACGAACTTTCTTTAAAGCTCAAGCTTTTCATTCTCCCTGGCTAAAAATTCGTGCTCATGGATGATGTCATGTGTTCACTTAAATTCCTATCGAAATAGCTTAAAATAAACTCTGAAAATATCTGCTTTCACCCAAGGAAGCTCATAATTCTTAATCAATTACAAACATTTTAATCTGAACATATTTTAATTCCGCCGCAGGCATCACAAATGTAACGAGTGATTTACATGGATTTCAAGATTCATCTCATTCATCTAATTATGCAAATGGATTTCATTGTCTTTCTGTCATGTACAAACGATTTAATCGCTTAATTTGAACTAATGTATTCAATTCAAAGCCCTTAAGCTTCAATTGCGATGAAAGCCGGGTGTGCACAAATCGATTTTTATCGTTCAGCATGAACATGTGTAAACGATGGTAATGATGTTGGCAATTAGCGAGCACTCGATTAACACACTCCCATTAATATGATAATAGTGAAATAACGGCGATGCATTCAATCGACTAAAATATGTGCGTGACAACAACTGATAAAATATTCCGCAACATGAAATCAGTGGCTTATGTCGTGACAGTTTTGGTTATCACTTAATTCTCATGGCGGTCATACAGTCCAGACATGAATTATGACGATGTGAAATCAAAACAAACCACAGCATGTATGTCGTAAATCAAACGAAGCACATCGTTTGAGGTAATGCGATTTGGGCTGGCTGGCTAGCTGAGCCTTTCATCCAAGGTCAAACAAGCACATAATTTATTGGCAATGAATCATTGCTACAGCTTTGAATCAGTCGAGAAAAAAAATGCTTCGAAATTGAATTTTGATTTCTTTTTAAGCGATTCTCATGGTGTTTTTACAGAAAATGACATGAATTCTGTTTTAGCCAACTGTGTGGTCTATCCAATTCTCTCGCTCATCATGCGAAAAATCGCAATGCTGGCAAATGAAAATTGCACAAAATTCGGTATTTCATATTATGAAACCTAAGCAGCAAAGTCAACAAATTGAAATGTATGCACAAACTTGATTTCATTCACTTTGCCAAACGAGTCGGTGCGTCATAGTGATATGGTCGGATTCAGCAAAAAGTAGTTCAGGCATATGCAAGTAGTTGATAAACGCCCATGATTCGTTCTCACTATTACCATGCAATTTGACATGCTTTTTGACATGATTCCAAAATTGACTGTCAGTCAGACATACATTTATGTTTGTCGTTTATATATGCGTTTATAAAAACATTTCAATCAAACAGCAAAACCCACTCGCACACACAATTTCATTAAATTGCTTGGAGTTTTCGGTTGATAAAATAGATCCACATTGATTTGCTCCCAGTGAAAATTTATATTATTGCTATTTTGCACCATTGAAAATGTTTGTGGAATAGAGTGGATTTTTTTTTTGATGAAATTCAAACAGCAAACGTTACTCAACTTTTTTGTTGAATGAAAATCGGTATTTTTTTCTTTCAATTTTGATGCTTTTTATTCGTATTCTCTTTCATGTTGTTTGATTTCGTAAAAGGTATCTATTTAATTCAATTTCATTTTCAATCAATCGAATTTATTTCATCATTTCTCTTTTCCTTTCTTCTTGTTTTTTTCTTTATTGACATTCGAAAATTAAATTCCAGTTTTTTTTTCCTTTTTCATTGTTTTCCCCTTCGAAAAACTGATTTCACTTCATTTCCCATTTTGGAAAAAGTGAAATGTCTACTGTCGTTTACTGTTTTGTTGACGCATTTTTGTTCTTGAAATATGATGTCAACTTAAAATGATTGTAGGAACGACACATGTTGTGAAACTGACAAGAGAGAGAAAAAGAGAAGGAGAAAGAAAGAAAGAGAGAGAGAGAGAGAGAACTTTATGTTTAAAAGTCAACGCAAAACTGTAAAAGTCAACTTTTGACTGGGCTTTTGTTATTCAAATCGAGCTAGTTGATCCAAAAAGTTTATCCATTATTAACTATGTTCATCTTCTAAAAATCTCTTATAATGATTTATCCATTATTATTATTATTTAACATGTCAATTTGACTCATGCATGAGCCAATTCAATACTCTATCCCCAAGTGCCTGTTCAATAAATTATGCCATGATATCGGATATCTCAGAAATAATATAATAATCGCGAATATTTTCTCTGATTTGTTCGATTTTCCCAAAATGTGTCTGTTTTGTAATGTTCCGAAAATCATATAAAAATCATTCTCTATGTGTATCTAAACGATTTGAATATATATTTCCAGCGAAATTACTGAATCCCATTTGCAAAATGAGTTTTGGATGACGTAGTGATGAAAAAAAACCTATAAATAACATAATTCCCGAAGTTTTCTTTGTAGGGAAGGGCAAACTATGTTTCTTGTTTCTCGTTTCTCAATCTCTCCCTGTGTTCATATCGCTGCATGTTTGTACATTTATCCAAAATCACATGATGATAAAAACGATTGTGCTCATATGCGGGACATAGATATGCGCA